GTACCTACTAGGACTTGAACCCGAAACCCGCTCGTGGAGGGTTGGGTGTCTAGACCACTAGGCCGCGGGATCCCAACCCCCATAACCCACATAATTAACAAAACAGTACTATTATATATATTATCAACCCACTACTTTGCTACTTAACCAAAGCAAAGTTATGCCTAATATTCTAATTACCGATATACTTAGTATAATTAATATTAGCCAATCAGAAAAAGGCTGTCTTATTGAAAAACGCTTTGAAAGATTAAAATTTGCCTAAATCATAAATTTTAAAATTGACTAAAATTATCCAAATATTTGCAATTTTCAAAATAGATTTTTGCATTTCTGGACTATAGTACCTGAATAGTACTCACTTGGGTACTAATTATGGGAATAATAATACCCAGATCATTTTCAATTTTCTGAATCATGAACCTATGAATTGCACCCGGGTCTTTTTCATAGGGATATTATAGCAGGTAGGTACTGTAGTCAGTGCCATACAGTATCTAATCTGTTTTAATAGACTGACCACTCTGATAAGTCCAAATAATTAACCATATATTTCCCTTAATCACTAGCTCCGGGACTCAAATTTATACTAGTGAGGGTCTTAACAATAACGAAAATCCAGTAATCGTTCAGCAATATATGAATATTAAATTGGCTATAAAAAAATTATAATTTATTTAACTAATCAAGATCAATTACACCAAAATTAGCCAATCAAAAAACGATTATGTAAGCACCAAAATTGGCACCTCATAGATGTCTTTTACTGTCCGGTACTGTAAAAATTTTTCCTCGATTAGTAGGGATACACTAGTCCTATTAACCATTATTATAGTACAGTCTACCCTCGTTAATATCAACCTCATTAATATCAATCTAAGTCATAAGATGAATTTTTACAAATTTTTATATATTAAAACTCCCTCATATATATCAACTTTTAATATAATCCCTTGTTAATATCACTATCAATATGAATTTAAGCCAATTCAAATAGGTTGATATAAACGATAGTATATAGACTGTATATATCTGATATGGCAAATAATATTTGCAATTCATACCGCATGATCATATATGGCAAATGAGACAATCAAAATCATAGTAATTACAAAAGTCAAATTTTCATGACGAATTCTTATTTCGGCTAATACAATAGGTACCAGGCATATAACATTATTAGTTCAACTAAAATGCTATACACTAATGATATAGAAAAACCTTTTTTTCAAAGATTTTTCATATAGAAAATACATACAGTAGCAAAATCACACTAGTATATATACTTTTTAACTGCTACAAGTATAAATTTAATACTAAAGAACAGTAACGAATTCTAAAATTTTATTCATCTATCTATTGCTATTGTTAACCATTGATTATAATATGATAGACTCTAATTTGATAGATCAAAAACGAAACTTCAAACAATTGATATCGGTGCAGTAAATGGCCGGCATATTATTATGGTGTCTGAAGCCTTGCTGTTGACAAATCAAAATAAGTTAAGATAGTTTTGAATTGGTTTCAGAAAGAGCTGTAACAACATTATCCAATTTTGCATTGACAATATCCAATTTTGCATTGACATTATCCATGGTTTCAGAAAGAGTTGTAACGACATTATCCAATTTTGTATTGACATTATCCTTGGTTTCAGAAAGAGCTGTAATGACATTATCTAACTTTTCTATAAGTTTGGTTGAATTTTCTACCATCAGCTGTGGTTCAACTATTTGTAACCAAAAACGTTCCAATTCAAAACAGTTTTTAAGACGATTGTTAGGCTCTGGAAAATTTCGAGCATCTAACATTGACAAAAGGGATCGGTAAACAATATCATTTGCCGATCTCATACATCGAACAGTTAATGACTTTAAATTAGGTTTCCCAAAAACCATATTTTTAAAACTCTCCCAACCTGCATCATCAAAGTTAAAATGAACATGGTCATGGCGGTCTTGCATATATTTATCATCTGATCTTGCTTGTTTGGTTTCCCACATGCTATAATTGAGTGAAATCCCAAATTTTTTCTTTCATTCAACAAATCCTGCCAGAATAATTGATTTTTGATCAACGTCGTGTTGTCAAAGTGGTTAAAACTGGTTTCCTCATCATCATTAGGGCATGAAACAAATTGTAAGCCACGAATAGGTTCATGTCGGTACATTATGTAATAATTTTCTCGTTCCCATGCCACAAGATCGTCAAGAACATCTCGAGTTGTTGAGTTACTTTTACAGATGCTGTCTAAATTATCACAGTCTAAAAAATGTTAGTTAGTGAGCTTATATATCTGATAGGTACACTGACAGTTTAAATAAATTGGATCTGCACCGCATTTACCATTTACATTTCCTTTCATATTCACATAATGCAAATGCCGAACTGTTTACAGTTTCACTGTATTCTACTTCAAAAGGTGCAGTTTTATAATAATTTTCATAAGATACAGTTAACCGAGTATTGGTAATATATGATTTTGCAATCTTGGCAGAAATGTTTAGATCTTTTTTTCTCAAGTACACATCGAACCACAAAACAGGATTGAGACATAAGGTAAAGAAGGCTTTGTCGTCCTCAAATAATACTTCTAAACAATAAGAATAAGTTAACATTGGTTCGGCATTCACTGCCTGTAAAATTATTTTAGATGCCTCAACGAGATTATTTGGTTCGAGGGTGCTTTGTATTTTGAAATACGAGCTTTCCAACTCTTCTGGATCTTCTAATTTTGAAATCATAGTTGTTATAACAATCGAAAGTATAATTTTCAAAATGAAGTTTGTAAAGGTAAAATGATTACGCCCCAGACATTTAATATTTATTTATAGTCTTGATTCATCATACCATATTTCGCCTTGTACAGGGCTGATAATTTCCTGCAGTAATAAATTGCCGATTCCATCCGTGACAAAATCAAAATTCTGCAAGCATTAAGATTTATGAATTTTGCGTAAATTCTGCATTGGTTATTCATAAATTCTGTGTTGGTTATATTAGAAATTTCGAATGTTCTGCAATAAGGTAAAATTTTTAATTCGACCATGCTTGTATTTTAGATTCATTTATTTTCTACATCGGAAATTTTTGGAAGCTAAATTTTTAGCATCATATAAAAAAATTATAAATTCTACAATTCTGTGCTATCTTTGATACATTCTGTGATTTTTGCGGCATTCCGTGTTTAGAACCTGATTCTGTGATTTCTGCAGCATTCCGCCCATTCAGATTTATTTGAATCCAATAAATTATTGATAAATTGAAATAGTAAACTCATTGAATAAAATCGTTATTTCATATTTCGCAATAACTATATAATATCGATATATTATATATCGTTATATTAACGTTATATTACTATATCGGATACGTATTTCGAAAAAAAAAATAAATCAATTTCCGTAAATAGAAGTATTCATAGAAGGGTATCAAGATATCAAGATACCACAGTTTTTGTTATAAATTTACATGTGAAGATTTACGGTTGCATTCACATCTTTACTTGAGTTTTCATGTGTACGTTTATCAGTTTAGGAGACTGTAAACTATTTGGTTACCACATTTCTGGAGTAAGTAAGTAAATCGCGTGGATGCAAAAAAGTCATTTAACAAATAATACACGTACAATACGTACCTGGATCGAAAGTACGCAGTTCAGAAACCAAATCTAAACCCCAAACCGGTTTTTTTAAGACATCATTAGTGCTTAGTCAAGATCGTTTGAGTTTTGTGCTATAACTATTTTCCTTTAAAAGCGGCATGTTACTTTATATGTATTAGTTTGATGCAAATCAAGTTTAAAATAGGAAATGGCGTTTTTCTATATGAGGAAATTTTCATTACACAAAGAAAAACGATTGTAAAAAATTGTGCAATTTATCTCAGAGCGCGCTTATTCTTAGCGCTCAGAGAATTGAGTGATGAGCTGAGATGCGCTGCTATCCGCTCAAAAAAAATTTTTTCACTCCGAATGGGGTGTCTATTTATACAAAAAAAAAAAATCTATTTTTGTACTCAATACATACCTACTTTTATTCATTTATTATTTATTAAAATATAAATAATTTCTTCTAAACAAATATAAATCTAAAGACAACGATAATTGGCAAAAAACTAACTGACAAAAAAATAATCAATTCCTGGTAATACTATATAAAAACTGTTAAGCTTGAAATTTTAATACACCCAGAAAATATTACCGTACTTTCATGTGAATTTTATTTAAATACGCAAAATAATATACTTAAAATATCTAGAAAATATTTTTATTCGATGTAACACCTTTCACATAGTGATCACAACTTTTATCTCAATTTTTTTTCATGTCTGCTTTAACACTAAAATAGCGAACTTCTCATATTAATCCAATACATCAATTTACGATATATAGAAATATTATTGTTATTATTTATTTATTTATTATATATTATTTATTATTTTTTACTTTTTAATTTTTTCTTTAAAAAGCCCATCATTTTCACATAAAAGCATTAATAATCATATTATTCTCCTAAATACCTAAAAATACATTCAAATTCAATAATAAAATACCGTATCTCTAAAAAATCTTACTAACAACTCTTTCAGTAACAATATAAGCGTTATCGATCAATTTTGGGAATAAAAAATTACTATGAACGATTGATAATAACACAATATTATAAAAAAGATAATCACAAAAATCAATGACCTCCACGTAACAATTGCTTTTTTAATCTCACGTCATAATACGTACATACCTCATCAAAAAATATATTCAACAAAAATCTTAACTAAATATATACAATAAATTATATACAAATAATAATACCCTATAGCTACGTATAATAAATAACATAACTCTTCGCTCGGAGCTTAAATTCTGATGATTAACAAAAAAATTACTCACTAATAATAAAAATAAATCAAAACTTAGCCTTAGTAACTTGAAATTCCTTTTTTTTAATTAAACTGACCCTATACACTTACCTATATTTATTAAATTCTCGAACATTACCGAATACTAACTCAGCTTTTATAAATAATTAAAGTAATAAACGACAATAAAAAAAATTTTACAGTTATACAATAATCAATTCAAACATTACTTTTCATAGTCCGCGTTATTATCATTTCACACAGTTAGGCACTATGAGCAGAGCCACCTCCTGGGATACTCTCAACATTCTCACCTTCGATTTCAACTCAATGAAAACTGATAGAAATATAGTATTAGAATATGCTAGACTTGCGGAAATAAATAGAAAAGGATTAACCTCAGTGATAACCAATAACCAACACCAAAATTTCATTCTTCTCTTCTTTTCCTTCTGTCCCTTTTCCTTTCCCTCTCCTAACATTACTCAAATACCATATTACCATCATTACCGTATAGCGCACCCCTGGAATAGTATCCCTCATTTTTTTTAACAACCGATTTGTGGTCGAATTTTCATGATTAATATGCGATCTTTTTATTGGATTTGATCTGTCTAATAGCAAAGTATATATTGATCAGCAACGATTATTTGTATCTCCCAATACTTGGGGGTATTGTTTAATTTAGGCCGGCTTTTTTGTAAAATACCAGGATACTATATGCAACGCTGTACGGTAATTATAAAAAATAAAATATCATACATCTTAACAATCTTAAAATTCTCCATGCATTAAAATTTTACTACAAATTATACAAGCTCATTATCCTTTTCACGTTACACATTACCTCATACCCTATAAAAAAAGTTTGTACAGTTATTGTAGACATTGACCAAAAAATCTTCGGAACAGATTCGATTTTCCGAACAAGGTTTATGTTTATACTGTTTTCATAACGACGTTTGTACAGAATGTAAAAAATATAAAATTTTTAGTTTAAAATTATCGTATAAAAAACGTATAAAATACGCATTCATCCAATAAACACCCTTTAAATATTCAAAACAGAGTTGATTTTCTGAACAAAAAATCGAATAATTTCAGAACAATTCCAAGAGATTTTTTTTTATAGATACCATCCGCCTACTACCTTCTTTAGAAATTTTCGATACATTAAAATACGTAACAAAAAAAAAAATAAAAATAAAAAATATATTACCAATACACCCTAACCTACGTACGTACATTTCAACTACTCAACTCATTAGGTAACATAGCTTCTCCCTAAATTAACTACCACCAATAATTTTAATCATATACTATCAATTTACCACTGTTAATCATATACAAAACACTAGTCATAACTTTGCATGACATCATATGACATCTTCGAATGCTTTATTTCCAATTAAGGATAAATAAAGTGTAGATAACGATAACAATCACAATACATGACTTCAATACGCGTTTGAAAAAAGAATCAGATATATAAGGACTTCTTTTTTTTCTTGCAAATTTTATCCCTATTATTAATTTTTTATCACTTTTACTATCGCTACTTCATTTTCTTTATTATTAGTTATAGTTATAATTTATAAGCTGTTTTATAGTTTATACACCTTTATTTGTTTTTTCGATTGGTTTTTTTGATGGATGTAGAGTTTTCTTGTATTTTTTTCGATGTATTTAAGGTGTTTTTGGTGGGTTAAGGGTGGATGTAGGGAGTTTTTTTATTTATTTCTCGAGCTCTAGAGAATAAATTGAGACAAAGCTATGAACAACCCGCTCGACTGGGAACCGAGC